TTTCCCAACATGATTAATATGGAAATAAATTTTGCATGACTGCACATATATAAATATCAAATTGATTGCTGTCTGAGGGGGGCGATAGGGGAGAAAGGCAAGGAGAGAATTTGGAGCTCAAAATTTTAAAAAAGTTGGATGTTAAAAATTATTTTACATATAATTAGATGAAAAAGAAAATATTAAATATTTTTAAAAAGAGAAAATAGAGGCTCAGAGATGTTGAGAGAGTTGCCCAAAGTCACATAAGTAGTAAGTAGCAGAGCTGAATTCCATGACTTTGATCAAGTTCAGCACTCTTTCCATTGCCCAATGTTGCGTCAGGTCTGGCGTTAAGGAATCCCCAAGTTCCATGGTCAGTCTCTGGTCTGATCTTCCCAGAACAGCAGAGGTAGGTGGCTTTTGATCCAACCCCATTTCACAGAGTTTGTAGTCAACCAGTTTTACCGATAGTACATGAACCAGGATAGATCTTAGCCAAGCCTAATCTCAGGAGCTCTCATGTGACTCTTCCAGACCTGACAGACCCCAGGCTCAAGAGCTGTGCTGTTGATCTCCAAGGCTTTCTTTCTGAGGTCACTGACCTCCAAAGTCAGTTCATTCTCCATTTCCATCAACTCACACCCCATACACATCAGCTTTGCTCCAATCAGTCTCTCTTCAACCTCTTCATGTTGTAGGATGTTGTAAAGCTCAAATGAGATCATGGCTGGAAGATATTTTGCATACCCTATAGTTATATAATTAATTAATGTCTAATCATCAAGCCTCCAGTCTGGTGTTGACTTCATTCCCTAAGCCTTCAACTCCAGTCCTGCTGAGGCCATGCATTGTTTATCGAGCAATTGACTGTGAGACCCAGGAGACACTGGCACAGGACTGCCTAGCATGGTGTGCCCGCAACAAAGAAAGTACAGTACTTGTTGAGCAAAGCAGAATTGTAGTAGCTCAAAAGAAAAGTGAGATTCACAAATTTAGAGACATCTCTACTCCAAATGTTCATATGGACTTTCTGTGCCCCATCTGTGGTAGAACCTTTTGAGATCATATTGGCCTGATTAGCCACAGTTTGACACACCGTACTTGCCCCCAACATAGTGTTGTCATTTTAGGCCTGTTCGAGAAGGGAGGACAACTAACCGATCAATCCTTGAGCAATGTAGGAGTGGGCTGGTAAATAGTTGAGTTGGGGGGAAGGGCAAACTGAGGAGATGTATGCACACATACTTTTAAGTTTACTCATTTTTAAGTTTACTCTGAATCATTGATGCTTTCTTAAGTCTAGATCATAAACAAAACAATAAATCAAACTCTGAGTTGTAGCAATCACTGTTTCTGAGGTGTAAACACTCACACTAAAAATCTAATCATGGTTCTTGGAATTCCTTAGAGTTCATTCCACTGTATCCCTGTCCACACCCATCCTGGCTCCCTCTTACCAAACATAGACTTAAGAAAGATTGTTCTGATTCCCCAGGCTTCTCCCTAACCCTGAGTTCTGCTAGGCTATGACCTTAGAGAGAAGGTAACCAGGGCTAGTCCTGGATGGGGAGGGGAGGAAGGACCATTGAGACCTAGGTCAGCTAGGGAAAAATAACTGCAATCCCAATTAGTTTTTCCACTCTTGCTTAACTTACCTTTCCCTGCATCTCCTTAAAAAATACCACAATCCATTTACTTCTGTTTGCTAGCTCTGCTCCCTCTCTCCTCCCACAAACTGTTGTTCAGAGGTAGATAAGGCAGGTACCCAATATGAGAGTGCCCATGGCCACCCTCCCAGGTTGAATAACCTGGATTGAAATCCCAGCTTTGGCACTGGCCAGCTGTCTCAACTTCACCTTTTAATTTCTTCATCTGCAAAACTAAATGGTTAGAAATGTTTGTATTTGTGGATAATGGTTAAGTCTATCATCAAAAATACATTTACAATTTTAAAAGAAAAGAACAAAAATGAGGTTAGAGGATCCCAAGGTCAAAGAATCCCAATTCCAAATCCTAAAATGTAATAATTGTAGCCTCCCCCACCCTGTAATTCCCTAATTAGATCAATCGTTCATATATGAGGGTTTGAGTTAGAGATTTATTATTTTTTATTGTTAAAAATTAATTTATTTGAATTCAGATATATTTGAAATACAAATTTGGTTATATTTTTAAAGCTATAATTCTCATCACATTCTGTGGTTAATTTTATTGTGCTTATTTAAAAAAATCGGTCATTACTGTTTTGCACTCAGTCATTTGAAAAAGTTTCTTTGGGAAGGCACCAGCTTCAGGTACCCTGATTGTAAAGAATGGACCAATATCTCACACTAGAATACTGTCATTGCCAAGTATCTCGACTCAGCAAGTGATTGCTCGTATGTGATCTGTCCCTCTAGAAACAAGGGTCACACTTGTCACCTACCTCTCCAAAGCATTGAGGGCTAAAGACAGCATTTATAAGGTACTTGGAGCTCCTTTGACATAATGCTCTACCAGAAACAACACTTGTCAGGCTTATAATTTTATGCTGAAGGTTCACAATACTTTCCCCTCCAACTAAAATCGACATGATTCAGTTCTTATGGCATTCTACTGAACAACATAATACTGAGATTGAGTAACTTTTACAAGTCATGAACATGGGTGTTTTCTGAGCTGCTGCAACAAGTTATGAGCAGGTCAACTGACTGCTGCAGAGAAGGTTAAGTAAAATTATTTAAGTAATACTTTTAAATGACATATACCAAATGGCTATAGGATATACCAATCTTATGCAAAAATTAGATAAGAAAGTGAGACTCAAAATAAATTCACTAATTAGTTAAGTACCCCCCAAATGACTAATAATGAACCTTTTCAAATTACGTTCTATGGTTTGTACACCATCCTTTGGAGTGGTACAAGCCCAAGTCCTCAGTGACTGCCAAATGGTAATTATTTCAATATGGGGATGTTAGAAAAGCTTATTAAAAAGATCCCCTCCAAATAACCCTTAACTTTCCACTCCCCTTAGCTTCCCCTTCCATTTATACATTCTTCTACTTCCCTTTTCTTAAAAGGGGGCTTTTGGCACTTGGATGGACTTCAGGCTACATATTTCCAATCTAGCTCTGAAATGAAGAGAGTGTTGACAGTGTCCAGTCTGATTTTAAAAATCAGGGATCCCAGTCAGAGGAAAAACAGCTGCAAAGCTTTCCACTTTGTCTCTGATTGCCTTGATAACACCCTGATACTTTGCATCCTTCAAAAATTTCTTCTTGAATTCTTTCAAGCTGGCCTGGGGACCAAGGTCTTTCTGAATCTGCAAGGTCAGTTCTATTCCTTCATGAATGAAGTGGACTACTTTGTAGAAATCTTCTTCTAGTAGTTTTTGGGAGGGGAGAGCTGGGGTTCCTAGCCTCAGTCCACTAGATCTTAATGCACTTTCATCTCCTGGGCAGGTGTTCTTGTTACAAGCCAGAGAACAAGCACCTTCTCAGCTCTTCCTTGATCTGTGCTTTTGTTGCCTAGGTCCCCAAGGATGAAGTGGTTGTCAGAACCACCTGTTACTATGTGATAACCCAGCTCCGTCATGGCTACAGTTGGCAGCCAGCTGTTGCTGATAAGCCTCAAATTCAGGTGTCAAGTCTTGCTTCAGAGCTATAGCAATCCCTGCAATGGCATGGTTGTGAGGCACTCCCTGTAGTCCTGGGAAAACAGCTGAATTAATGAGTGACTCCAGATTGTATATCATATCTTTGCCTGTATTAGAGTCCACACTGCACAGTCCTTTCCTGTAGAAGATCATGCCAGCCTGGCAATCTTGAAGGGTTTTGTGTATGCTGGTGGTTACTATGTGGCAGTGTTCAAAGGGGCAGAGGATTACCTCAGCTGCTACCAGTCCGCTAATGCGGACCATGTCAGCCATAAGATATGTCTCCTTATCATCTGAAGTCTTCCACATGCAGGCATAGCAGCTGGTTCCTGGAATAGCAGCCGATTCCTGCAATGATCAGCTTTGGGTGGAAGAAGCAGGCACTTTCTTCTAGTTTGTCATGGTCAATATAGCCAGTATTTTGGTTTACCTTATAGGGCATGGAATCAAAAAAGATGGAGGAGGCAAAGACTTTCTTCTTATCTGTCACGAACCCATGGGTAAGGTGACCCCCATCAGGCAGGTCTAGACCCATAATCCTCCCATGTGGTTCCATCAGGGCTATGTACACTGTAAAATTCACAGGAGATCCTGAGTATGGCTGAACATTGACCTCCCCAGCTTTGTGGGTCCAGGCCATAGACCTGCAGAGTTCTCTTCTGACACAGAATCTCTAATTCATCCACAAACTGGGCGCCACCATAATCCCTCTGGCCTGGAAATCCTTCTGAACATGTATTATTCAAACAAGAATCCATGGCTTCCAGAACTACTTGGCTTGAAAAATTCTCTGAAGCAATCAGTTCCAACTCAGTCTTCTGGTGATTATTTTCCTTCTTAATGATTGCATGCACTTCTATATTATTGTCTTTCAGTGGCTGTGTCAGCATATTTGGAGGGGTGGCTTGCCAGAAGTTAAGATTATGGTTCTTTCCCTTGACTGTTGATGTCATGTTTCTGGTCTAAGGATTCCTGGGTGGGCACCAATCAGCAAATAGCAGCAAGATACATAAGCGTGACTTTCTTTAGTTTGACGCAAGAGAAGTTGGTTTGAGATTTATTTGTCTTATGTTTGTATCAGTTCTTGGTTTGTTGTGAATATTATGTTTAAAGGAATGCCTGGTAACAATAGGTACTAGATCCCCTGCTCCACAGACACAGACAATATCCTGCTGAGCAGGTTCTTAGAGCTCATCTGATATACTTTTCTTCTCACGCAAAGAAGAAATGGATGGCTCAGAGAGAGGGAGGGACTTAGTAAGGTCACAGCCAGTTAGAAGTCTATTCAGGGTCCTCATTTGACCCCCTACAGCCTCATCTTCCAGTTCTGAGATGCCCTAACCTCCAAGCCCTATTACTAAATCCTTCCCAAACTTCCACCATGGTGTTCTGAGACTCACAACTTCATCTTTAGCCTTTGACACCCCTTTAAACTTCCCCCATTTCTACTTTTACCCTCTGGGATCCTTAAGGCTCTGAGCCCACACTCCACTCAATCCGTCTCCCTCTGTGGCCTTCAGATTTGGCCAGGGGAGGAATGGGTTAGGCTTGAGAACATTGCATAAGAGACCTGGGATCAGTGCCAGGTGACAATTTCCACCCCCAGGCCCAAGCCTTAAAAGTCAAGAACAGCCTTATCTGAACCCCAATCCTGGCTCAGCATCTGCCCAAATCCCAGACAACACTGTAGTGAGGTCTCTGCCACCTCCACCGTGCTGGCCTCTGGGCTGCTGCTGTGGGCCCTATTCTTTTGCCTCTCTGCCCTGGTGGTGCTCTCGGTATGGAGACAGAGGAAAGCTTGCAGCAGCCTTCCGCCTGGGCCCACCCCTCTGCCTTTCATTGGCAACTACCTGCAGCTCAACACTGAGCAGATGTATGACTCTTTCATGAAGGTACTGAAGCTGGGGGTGGGATGGGAACAAGAGGGAGAAGATGCAGAGACTGAGAGAGGGAAACGGATTGAAAGAGACAGAGAGGCACAAGGAGTAAAGAAATAGAGAGACCAGGTGAGGAGGAGGCAGGTGCTCAGAAAGGCAGACAGGAGACCCATAAAGTCACAGAGACAGAGAGTGAAACAGATAGTCACCCAAAGTGGCAGAGATAGGGGGTGATGCACAGAGAAGAGGAAACAGAAAGGGAGAGACAGTAACAGAGGAGGAGACAGAAGTGGATACTAAGAGACACAGAGAGATGTACTCAGAGACATAGAGTGAAACAGAAACACAAGCAGCAAAGAGGCAGACACACAGACAGATATCTCGTGTGCATAAGCAGGTTCCAGTGTGGCTGGAGGGAGGCTCTGGGAGGGTCAGAGAGAAGGAGACATGGGGAAAGACAGAGAGATGGAGACAGAAAAAAAAACTCTCTGCTTCTTCCTATTGATTTGAGGAAGCTCCTTTCCTTTCTATAGTCCTCAGTTTCCCTCTCTGCAACATGTCCAGGTTGGGCTAGATGGTCTCTAAGGGCTGAGTTTTATCTTTTGGGAAAGAAGCTCCAAGAAAAGCACAGAACCTCTTTGTAGGGAGGGATGGGCAGAGCTGGGCTGCAAGAGAGGGATGCAGGGGGAATGGTGGAGAAGAGGCCAAGGGAGCAGGAGAGATGGCCTTGAGGGCCTGAGAGAGAGGACCCAAGGGAGAGGGTGGGGGATGGATAGATGAGAGCTTAGAGACATCTCTTGGCAAAAAAAAAAGATCTCTGTGCTCTCTCTCTGCCATGGCCACGGGGTTCATTAGTTTCTCATGACTCTGCACACTTGTTTAAGGAAGCCCAGTGCAGACGAGGGGCTTGGAATAGATATGCCCTACTCCCCATCCAAAAGGAGCACTCAAAAGACATTTTATTTTATTTTTTTTGTGAGGCAACTGGGGTTAAGTGACTTGCCCAGGGTCACACAACTAGTGAGTGTTACATCTCTGAGGTCAGATTTGAACTCAAGTCCTCCTGACTCCAGGGCCAGTGCTCTATCCACGGTGCCACGTAGCTGCCCTCCAAAAGACATTTTAAAATCCTCTTCCTGCCATCCCTGGATCCCTTCAAGTCTCAGCTAAGATCCCACCTTCAGTAAGAGGGCCCCCTCCTGTCACAGCCTTCTCTCTGTTGTTCATCTCCCATTGATCCTGTTGAGAGCTTGTTTCCACCTAGTTCTTTGTATAATTTCTCCCCCATCAGACTGTGAACTTGTTGAGAGCAAGACCTGCCTTTGCTTTCTTTTTATCCCTGGGGTTTATCACAGTTCCTGGTGCACAGTAGATGTCTAATAAATATGTATTTATTGCCTTGTCACAGGAAAAAAAAACAGAAAAAGGAGGAAAAAAGAGCAATATTGTTACTATTTTGTTAAACTTAAGATCATGGGTTCATGGATTTAGAGTTGGAAAGAATCTGACAGGCCATTGAGTCCAAAACCCTCATTTTGCAGATGAGGAAACTGAGGCAGATATGAAGTGATTTGCCCAGGGTCACACAGCTAATAAGTGTCTGAGGAGTGATTTGAACCCAGGTCTCCCTGACTGCCAGGCCAGTGTTCCATATGACAAGCAACATCTCACAAAAACATATGTGTAATTTATTTATTTAGATTTATTTTAAAAATATATTTATATATTATTTCTTTATTTATTTAAAAATGAATAAATGGAGCACAAGAGGTTTTTATAAAACTCCTCTTTGTCCTTTGTGTGTCTGAAATGTCTGTTTGTTACTGATGGCTAAGTCATAAATAGAAATTATTTAAAAAGCTGCTAAGTGATGATGGGTGAGAGGTTATCTTTCAGGGGAGAGAACTAAGAGGGAGGAAATCATGGAGCTTGGAGGCAAAATTCTGGTTATTCTGACTTCTCCATACCCTCCAGATTGGGGAAAAATTTGGGCCCGTCTTCACAGTGCACCTGGGACCAAGGACCGTCGTGGTCCTGACTGGGTTTGAGGCTGTGAAGGAGGCACTGGTCGACCAAGCAGAGGAGTTCTCTGGTCGGGGGGAGCAGGCCACCTTTGACTGGCTCTTTAAGGGATTCGGTGAGTGTCTTGGAAGGGACCCACACACACAACTGTCCCCAGGCCAATATGGCCTCCTCCAGGCTGCTGCTCAGGGTTCCTCCATGAACTACCATCTTCTGTTCCCTCCCCTCCCTCATCCCATCATTGCCTGTCTCAACTGCCTGCTTGTCTCTTTCTTAATCTATTTCTCCATTTTTGTCTCCCCATTTCTCTTCCATTCTCCCCATCTCTCTCCCTTTCTTGCTGTCTCTTGTGTCTCTTCATCTTTCTTTGTCTGTCACTATCTCGCCTATTTCTTGCCTATTCTTGTCTTTCTATTTATCTATCTCTTCATTTCATCTTTCAGCTTCTCCCTTTTCCTCTAGCTCTCTTTGTCTCTACATCTTTCTGTCTCTCATTTCTCTGCTGTCTCTCTTTGCATCATCATCTTCCTCTATCTCTCCATTTCTCTTTCTTTCCTCATATTCTTATCTCCCCAGTCTTTCCATCTATCTCTTAGTTTCTTTTTCTACCTCCCTATCTTTTAAAAAATTTTTTTATTAATTTATTTTAATTTATCAACAATCACTTCCATAAGCTTTTGAGTTTTAAATTTTTCTCTCCCTCCCTCCCCAAGATGGCATGCAATCTAATATAGGCTACACATATACATTCCTATTAAACATATTTTCACATTAGTGAGGGGCTGAGCCAAGATGGCAGAGGGAAATCAGTGACTTGTTAGAGTTCTCCCCCAAACCCCTCCAAATACCTATAAAAAATGACTCCAAACAAATTCTAAAGCAGCAGAACCTACAAAAAAAACATAGTAAATCAAATTTCCAGCCCAAGACAACCTGGATGGCTGATTGGAAAGGTATATCGCGCCAGGTGGGGAGAGGAGAGCAGGCCACGGTGACCCTGGAGCAGGCCTCAGAGGACTGAATCGTGGGCAGCTGTGGCGGTTTCCAGACTTCTCAACCCACGAATGCCAAAGACAACTTAGAAGGTGAGTGGGAAAAGTCCGTGACTGCGTTGAGAGAAGAAGCTAGGTCTCAGCCACAAGTCCAGAGCGTGCCCTTGGGGCAGCGGCTGCATCCTGAGCTTCTGGCCCACAGACTGAGGGGGAATCAAGTTGCTGATCAGAGGGAGATTGCAAGGATCTCTTTGCCAGGGCTGAGGCAGAAATCTCTTGCTTTGCCTGTGCTTGGATCTGAGTCGCAGTTCTGAGGGGAGGTCCTGGGGAGAGGAAGAGCGCTGGTGTGGTGGAGCTTGTTGTGGCGATGGAGAGGAACCACCTCGCCCCTTATCATAGCACCTTGGAAGAACTGAAAATTTTCAGGTCCCTAGAAGTATCTCTGAAAACAGCTGTACAAACCCCAGAAGCTTGGGACAGTACATTCTCCACGTTGGAAACAGACTCTTACCTTAACAAAGAGTTTAAAACTCAAGTAATTGGTTGGGATCATGAACAAGCAGCGCAAAAAGAGTCAGACTATATTATCTTGCTTTGGTGACAAAGAAGATCTACACATACAACCAGAAGAAGAAAACAAAGTCAAAGCTCCTACATCCAAAACTTCCAAGAAAAATATGAATCAGTCCCAGGCCTTGGAAGAGCTCAAAAGGGATTTTGAGAAGCAAGTAAGAGAAGTAAAGCAAAAACTGGGAAGAGAAATGAGAATGATGCAAGAAAATCATGAAAAGCAAGTTAACAGCTTGCTAAAGGAGACCCAAAAAAATACTGAAGAAAATAACACCTTAAAAAATAGCCTAACCCAAATGGCTGAAGAGGTCCAAAAAGCCAATGAGGAGAAGAATGCCCTAAAAAGCAAAATTGGCCAAATGGAAAAGGAAGTCCAAAAGCTTACTGAAGAAAATACTTCCTTAAAAATCAGAATAGAGCAATTGGAAGCTAGTGACTTTATGAGAAATGAAGACACGGTAAAAACAAATCCAAAAGAATGAAAAATTAGAAAACAATGTGAAATATCTCATTGGAAAAACAACTGACCTAGAAAATAGATCCAGGAGAGAGAATTTAAAAATTATTGGACTATCTGAAAGCCATGATCAAAAAAAGAGCCTAGACATCATCTTTCAAGAAATGATCGAGGAAAACTGCCCTGATATTTTAGAACCAGAGGGCAAAATAGAAATTGAAAGAATTCACTGATCTCCTCCTGAAAGAGATCCCCAAAAGAAAACTCCTAGGAATATTGTAGCCAAATTCCAGAGCTTCCAGGTCAAGGAGAAAATATTACAAGCAGCCAGAAAGAAACAATTCAAGTATTATGGAAGCACAATCAGGATAACACAAGATTTAGCAGCTTCCACATTAAGGGACCACAGGGCATGGAATATAATATTCCGGAGGGCAAAGGAGATAGGATTACAACCAAGAATCACCTACCCAGCAAAACTGAGTATAATTCTTCAGGGGAAAAAATAGTCATTCAGTGAAATAGAGGACTTTCAAGTATTCTTGATGAAAAGACCAGAGCTGAATAGAAAATTTGACTTTCCAATACAAGACTCAAGTGGAACATGAAGAGTTAAACAGGAAAGAGAAATCATAAGAGACTTACTAAGGTTGAACTGTTTACATTCCTGCATGGAAAGACAATATTTGTAACTCATGAGACCTTTGTCAGTATTAGGGTAGTTGGAGGGAAAAATTATATGTATATATATATATA